TGATTCGCAAAAAGTCTGAAGAGTTCGTTCTTTTTTCTAAAAAGAAGACACGTACACATGAACGCTTCGAGTAAACCGCGTGCCTTATACGATATTCGGAGTGAAGGGCGAAATAATTTTATAAAATTAATAAAATGATACATTATTAAATTTATTAATCTTATAAAACCGGCTGTTCACCCTGGTGATCTTAAATTAAGATCGTCGAGTCCGGCGAAACAGGCCGATAGAAAATAAATTGGAATTATTGTATGGACACTCAGTGCCGTTAGATTAGAGCTACTTCTTGACCAGCGGCGTGCAATCGTTAATTAGTTCGGTACACGGCAGATGATTGATATTGTTCGTTAGAAGTGATTCGTGTATCGTTATGTGTGTTCTGTACCATTGTTATTCGCAATGATCCTACCGCGGATTCTTACGCAAAACAGAATTCCCTGTTCGCTAGTTGAACGTAAAAATTAGTAATGAAGTTGAACTAGATACCATAGGAACATCTTTGTTCTGAAGTTGTGCAATTCATTTTCAATATCTCGAGTGTAGTTCTCTAATCAAGTTCCTCGTTCTACGATTTCCTTTCGTTTTCGTACACTTTCCTAATATGAACATCCATTTCCCGCAAAAATGGGAAATGTATCATTATTTCTTTTATATATGAGTAATGATTATTACTTCCACGGTTCTTGATGATGTTATAATTTCCTACAAAGTGGAAAAGGTAATAATAAACTTGACAGAACAAGGTGCGAGAAAAATCAGGAAGTTCAGGTTCAGTCTGTAACGAATGGATTGAAATTTATTGTGGCTGTAATTGAATGGATTCGATCTTCTGTTTTACTTGATTCCATTGTTATTCGATACAGAAATGCATAAGAATCCGCAGTCCGGCAGCAAGCATCATCGCGCATCGTCCTCCGCCGCCCCCACGCCCGCGCGTTCCGATTTCCGAGGCGATAAAGCGTTCCCTTTTTATCGCTGCAAACGACCTTCGCGCGATGAAAGCTCACCGAATCAACTCGCTCGCGATTCCGCGCGAAAAGCCACCGTAACCGCGTATCGCGCATCGATAGAAAGAAGGCAGCTGAAAGGAATGTAGTAATTGGCCAGCGTGAAAGGAGCCACGCCTCCTTTCGCGCATTTTTAGCCCTAATGTGCTATTAATCGGTACGGTTACATGATAATCAATTAACGCCATTAATCAGTGGTATCAAAAGTCCTGTGACATGTGAGCCATTTTTGAAAGTAATAACTCGATTTAGTTGAACGATCAGTTCATTTATAAGAAATCGCAATCGACGTGTTCAGCTACTAGAATTTTGGGTTTCTCAGTGTTTGGTAGCTACGGTACACGGTATTAGGAACAATTAATTACTGAATATCATTAAAATATCATATTTGATTCTCGTTAAACTATTGTCAAGTTACTTCTATCCACCCTCACGTTACCAACCAAGATGTCTGCATCGATCCAAATCTGAATATTACGATACCTTCGAGTATCGTAATTAGTATAATTCTTTATTCCCGAATCAACGTCGAACATTGTGAAAAGGTTTAACCCTTCGATTGCCAGGGGAAATGTTCATTCTACAGAAACATCCGATTGCTAACAATACTGAATCTGCAGAAAAGTTTAACTTTCGTTTAATTTGCTATTAATATCAATCAATGCTTCACGAAACACCAATTACACATTGGACAACCGTCGCAATCAAGAAAATCAAAAATATGTTCAACAGATTTCACGAACGAAGCGTATTTCGATGCGAAAGGAAAATATTCTCGGAAACATGATATATCGTTTTTGGCGCAGAAACGGCGAAAGATTAACATTCCCTTACGATGGTTTCCCGGTTATCGCCGTATCGATTGGAAAGGAAGAATCGCGGGCGCGCGTCATCGGCGACGATCCGTCTGCGGACTGTAGAGAAGCGCCGTGCCGCGCCACGTTCGCAAATAGAAAATAGCCTTCTGCGAATCTTGGAACGGGAACGGCCCTAGCCGAGCAATTGAGCGCGGCGAAGAACGGGGCAATTTCGTAAATGACCGTCGCAGACGGACCGGTTGCGTCAATGTTTCAATATTCAGGCTCAATCGAGCTTGTTTCGCGTGCGTGCACAGGCGCGCGCGAGCGCGGTAACGATCTATCTGGTACATTACTTACAAGCGTCATCGGCGACCGACGCAGAATGCGAGCACGTCGTCGATTGCTCGCGGGTCAATGGTATTTACTTACTTGTCTACACCTGACGGATCGCACGTTTCTTTCGTTTGTTTCCATTCTTGCGAAGCCAACGGCGGAAATTTGAAAGACAAACCGATTTTTCGTTGGATCGA